TTTATAGCCAAATGTTCCATTACATTCCACATATTTTATTATGTATATTTCATAATTTATACATATATATATCACATTTTTAAAAATTTATCTTTATTGTTGAATGTGTTACAGATGTTCCTCATTTTCCTCCCATTGAACCCCTCCTCCCCACACCTGCCCCCCTCCTGCCTTTCCCCACACTGTTGTCTGTGTCCATTGGTTATGCATATATGCATGTAAGTTCTTTGGTTTATTTCTTCCCGCCCCCGAACCCCTCTTCCCTTTGAGGTTTGCCAGTCTAGCAACCAATTTGCACTTTTAATCCCTTCACCTTTTTTACCCATTCCCCCAACCCCCCCTCCCATCTGGCAACTAACAAAATGTTCTCTGTATCTGAGAGTGTTTCTGTTCTGCCTGTTCATTTTGTTTGTAGATTCCATTGTCAATAGATATGTATTCATTGCCATTTTGTTTGTTCATATTTTTTATCTTTTTCTTCAAGAAGATCCTTCAACATTTCCTATAATAATGGTTTGGTGGTGATGAACTCCTTTAGCTTTTCCTTGTCTGGGAAACTCTCGATATGTCCATCGATTCTACATGACAGCTTTGCAGGATAGAGTAATCTTGGTTGTAGGTTGTTACTTTTCATCACTCTGAATATTTCTTGCCACTCCCTTCTGGCCTGCAAAGTTTCCTTTGAGAAATCAACTGACTGTCTTATGGGAACTCCCTTGTAGGTAACTGCTTTTCTCTTGCTGCTTTTAAGATTCTCTTTGTCTTGAACTTTTTCATTTTGATGATGATGTGTCTTGGTGTGGGCCTCTTGGGGTTCATCTTGTTTGGGACTCTGTGCTTCCTGGACTTATATGTCTGTTTCCTTCACCAAATTAGGGAAGTTTTCTGCCATTATTGTTTCAAAGAGGTTTTCGATTTCTTGTTCTCTCTCTTCTCCTTCTGGCACCCCCAAGATGTGAATGTTGGCACACTTGAAGTTGTCCCAGAGGCTCCTTACACTATCCTCATTTTTTTGGTATATATCACATTTTTAATCCATCAATGGACACTTAGGTAGTTTCCATATTTTGGCTATTGAGCATGAGAGTGCAGATGTCTCTTTGAGATACTAATTTTGTTTACTTCAGAGATTTATCCAGAAATGAGACTGTTGGATTATGTGGCAGTTCTGATACTGTTGTAATTAGCTAGTTATTAATAATAGGAGAGGAGCAAAGGGAAGACCAGACATTATAGATATGTTCCCTGCAAAACACCGGGGGAGGGATCCAGTAAAGGGAGATAGACGCATGCCCAGTAGAGTTGGAGTGACAGAGGGAAGGTGTTTGCTGTCAGTCAGAGGGCATTGGCCAGAAAGGGTGTGGCCACGGCAAGAATGCAAACGTTTGGGAATCTATAAACCCCTAAACAAAGAAGTTTGCCTTCTTGGAACATTTTGTTTAACTCCTGGCTTAAAGAGGCCCTTTTGCTCCTGCTTCCTTGCATTTGCTGTGTGGCCCACGGCCATGCGGACCCCACTTGCTATGGACCAATGGACTGCAGCTGGCCGATACTGAACTGGACCCGGCTCCAACATAGAAAGGAAACTCTGAACACTGGCTCTGGACACTGGCTCTACTGAAGCTCCAGCTGCACTTCTCTGACTGAACTAAGGGAAATGGGACTTTGGAAATGCAGAGATTTAATTCCACACAAATAAAAATCACTTGTTCTCCTATATGAGTGTAAGCAAATCCCTTTTTTCAGGATTTCACAAGGGCTCTACCCCCAACAGCAACCAGGGGACACGAGGCACACTCAAGGCACATTCTTCTCACTCTTCTCCGGGATAAGTTCTATTTTTAATTTTTTGAGGAACCTAATACTGTTTTCCATAATGGCTGTACCAATGCACAATCCCACCAACAGTAGGAATTTACAGGGTTCCTTTTCTCTACATCCTCACCATCTTGTAACCTTTTTTCTTGTTGATAGTAGCCATCCTAACAGTTTCGAGGTGATATATCATGATTTTGATTTGCATTTCCCTAATAATTAGTGATGTTGAGTATCTTTTCATGTACCTGTTGGCCACTTCTGTGTTCTCTTTGGGAAAATGTCTATTCAGATCTTTTGCTCATTTTTAAATCAGTTGGTTTTTTGTTTTTGTTTTTGTTATGGAGTTGTGTGAGTTCCTTATATATTTTAGGTATTAACCCCTTAGCAGATATATGGTTTCTACTATGGTCCGAATGTTTGTGTGCCTCTAAAATTCATATGTTGAAATTCTGATACCCCCTGTTACAGTATTAAAAGGTGGGGCCTTTGGGAGGTGATTAGCTCATGAGGGCAGACCCCTCGTGAAGAGAATTAGCACGTTTATAAAAGACGTCCTAGAGAGTTTGCCAGCCCCATTCCACTAGAAAACTAAAATTCCATGTGTGAGGCTCTAGCTGTGAAGCAGGAGGAGAGCTCTCACTAGCCACACGGAATCTACAGCACCCTCATCTTGGACTTCCCGCCTCCAGCACTGTGAGGAATGAATTCCTGGTGTTTATGAGCCATCTGGTCTCTGGTATTTTATTATAGAAGCCCAAATGGACTAAAACAGTGTGCAAATAAATTCTCTCATTCCTAGGTTGCCTTTTTCTTTTTTTTATTATTTCTTCTTCTTCTTCTCCTTTTTTTTTTTTGCTAGTCCATTATTTATTTATTTAATTAAGTTTATTGGGGTGACATTGGTTAATGAAATCATATAGGTTTCAAGTGTAGATTTCTAATTATTTCTTTTGCTGTGCAGAAACTTTGTAGTTTGATGTAGTCATATTTGTTTATTTTTGCTTTTGTTGCCTATGCTTTGGGTGTCATGTCCCCCCAAAATTGCCAAGACCTATATCAAGGAGCTTTTTCCCTATGTTTTCTTCTAGGAGTTTTATAGTTTCAGGTCTTATAGTTAAGTCTTCGATCCATTTTGAGTTAATTTTTGTGTGATTTGCATAAAATAGGGATCCAGTTTTATTCTTTTGCATATAGATAGCTAGTTTTCTCCAGCACCATTTATTGAAAAAAACTTTATCCACTGTGTATATTTTATTTTTAATTTATCTTTATTGTTGAAAGTTAAAGATGTCCCTCCATTTTCCCCCATTGACACACTCCTCCCTACTCCCACCCCCACCTGCCTTCACCGCACTATTGTCTGTGTCCATTGGTTGTGCATACATGTATACAAGTTCTTCAGTTTATTTCTTCCCACCCCCTTCCCTCTGAGGTTTGTCAGTCTGTTCACTACTTCCAAGTCTCTGGATCTGTTTTGTTCATCAGTTTAATTTGTTCATTAGATTCCACAAATAAGTGAGATCATGTGACCCTTGTCTTTTTCTGACTGGCTTATTTTACGTAGCATAATACTCTCCAGGTCCCTCCATGTTGTCTCAAAAGATAAGAGCTCTTTCTTTCTTATAGCTGCATAGTATGCTAAAAGGTAGCATTCTATATAAACTTTTGCACCTTGATTTTCTCACTAACAGTGAACCTTTCTACTCTTTCTGCAATATGGTCAATGCTGCATTGTTTCTACACTGCCTGGTTATAGTGGATATTACGTGACCAGTTCCTGATTTTAGGACAAAATTTTTTTTCACTTTTACATTTAGACTGTCTCAAAATAACTTTATAGATACATCTTTTTCTACAACTCATGATTATTTACTTAGCATAAATTATTTGAGCTGGCCAGTATGGCTCAGTGGCGGAGCATCGTCCCATGGACTGAGAGGTCCTGGTTCGATTCCCAGTCAGGGCACATGCCTGGGTTGTGGGCTCGATCCCCAGTAGGGGGCGTGCAGGAGGCAGCTGATGGATGTTTCTCACATTGATGTTTCCGTCTCTCCCTCCCTCCCCCTCTCTCTAAAGTATCAATAAAAACATATAAAAAGAAAAAGAAAACACTCATTTGGTTCAAAGTTTTAAAAAAATTATTTGAAATTATTTTGGGTGCTGTTGTTTCATGTTTACAAGTTGTTCCTGAAAGGTTATACAATTTATACCTCTTCCAGCAGGTGTCGCCACTAGGTGAAAAGGGAAATACCTTAAAAGGCTATTTGGAACTTTTTGAATATCATATATAAGAAAAACTAGGAACAAAAAACAGTGGTGGGTTGGCATTGTGGAGTTCTGGAAGGGGAGGGTTTCCGTGAGTGGTGGTTGGGCATGCTTGTGAGAACTCAGGTGAGGTGTCAGTTCTGGTTTTATCTTTGGGACAAGTCACTGAGACCCTCAAGTCTGGATTCTCATCATTGAAAAAGGGAGTGGTGCCTACTGAGTTTATTTGAGCCCCCTTTTATCCCAAAATGGATCTGTGAGGATGAAACACGAGAGAGGTTTTTCCAACTCTAAAATTTTTTAATTTTATAACTGTTCCTTCATGTTCAAAGGGAATGAAAATTAGGCTCCTGCTTATCCTGGTTCTGACTAAAGGGCTAGACCTCCCGTTTCCTAATGCTCTGGGTTCTTAATCTCTCTTCATTTCAGGAAATGCTAACCCTAAACTTCTCAACCCACCCCAGAGGGCAGTCTCTTAGCTTCCATAGATAACCTTTCACAAAACTCAGAGCATTGGAGAGGGAATGTTAAAAGTACAAGAGACCCCTGACTGCACAGTTATAGATAAATATTTTTAAAACGCAGACAGTTATTTTTAGATGATGTAATATGGATGATGTAGATCACATGACTCCCATAATACGGCACTTGGGATGTGGTGGTGTTAGATTTGGCTCTTTGTGGTGCAGTGATTTGAAGCCGGCAGCCAGGGAGGCTGCGCTTCAGGCAGACGCTGTCCCCGGCCAGGCTGTCCTGAAGCAGAGGTCACCCGCTGCCGGCCGCTGCAGGTCCGCTCATCCGCAGAGCTGTTTGTATTAGAAGCTCCCCGGACCGCACCGAGTGAGAACTTCTGTTCCTGAGCTGAGATGGCTCAAGAATACATTCCATGTTCCGTCATTTCCTTCCTTTCTCTACAGCAAACAAACTGAAGTGGACCCAAGTGTGCAAGAACTGGAAACGTTAATAGACATGATCCAGAAGCAGCTGAAAGATCATCCCTGCAGAGACAACATTCTCGAGGCATTTCAAGTTTATGACAAGGAGGCTTCAGGCTTTGTGGACAAAGAAGATTTCTTCAAAATCTGTGACTCTCTTAATGTCCCAGTGGATGATTCCTTGATCAAGGAGGTCAGTATGAGTTATTCTTCCAGGAGGTTGCGAGGCTGAGCGCCGTTCATTCTCTCCTAAAGACAGCGTATGTGTTTTCGTTTTAACTGGGGAAGACCTAGTTCAAGTCAGGTCTCCTGCTGGGTCCTGATTATGCTTTTCCCTTGATTCACTGCTGTTCTGTTCTAATTCTGCTGCAAGGCCACTCTTTCAGTGGTAGGGGGCTAGACAGCACGGGGAGGCTGAGAAGACATGCCAGGGCTGGAGGGGCAGCCGCCAAGGGGCACTCAGAGACCCTGGACGGAGCGGGTTGGCGGGCCGCCTTCAACACCTGTCACAGCATTAAGTACGTGAGCCCAGCAGGACTAGCACGGGAGAAGGCATGACCACTGCCCAGGACAGTGGCATCTGTCAGTAGGGGTCACAGGGTGACATGGACATTCTCCTCCTAGAATTTCCACAAGTGAGTTGAAGAGGGTGTTTCATGCCTCCCCCCCACCCCATCGTAAACTCCTTTAGCCTAGAAGTCCAACGAAATTCCTCCCCCCTTGCCAAACTGACTATGACTTATTATCATTGAGACATTCTTACTAAGAACATTGAGGTACTGTTGACGTTAAAGATCTTTTAGCAAAAAGGAATGTTCAGAATTAAGATCCATTTAGGGAGGGCTTTTGTTTAGGGCTAGAGTGACTAGCTTGGAGATGAGGTTATTTTGTAGACAGGAACATTAGCAAGGAGGGAGGGAGGCAGAAAGTATAGTATTTGTTCACACGGGCCACAGCCCACGTAGCTTCCCGAGTCTCAGACGGACAGCATGCCCACATCTGATTTTTAGGTCATGGGTACCACGTGTGAGCTGACATGAGCGAGGACTTGCAGTGGAAGTGGGACAGGGGAAGTGGGTGGGATGGATTTGCATGGGTCTTACGAAGGTAACCCCAGCAGACCAGTCTACTACCGCTCACGGCTGGTTTCAGGGGATATGGTTTGAGCAGTGGCACAACTCGATTCTTCTATTAGACTGCACTAGCCGTAGCCACTATTTAAAGAGTCTTACTCTGCACAGACTGGGTGGACAAAGTCTTGTATTTGAATATAAAAATAACTGAAAGTCCTTAAAAATTTTTTTTTTTTTTTTGAAAATGACAGTGTCCTTATACATGCAAATGTTAGTCCTAAAATCTTGGGCAGGCCATTTACTCCATCTGAGGTTTGACTTTGTTAACTCTAAGGGGATGATATCTGACCTACCTACCGGGCTCACAGGCTCACGGGGATATGAACTCTATGCTGCTTTACAAAGGCTGGGTTCCCTGCGTGTCTGTCCCACCTGCTCTCTCTGTCCTCCCTGCAGCTAATCAGGATGTGCTCCCACGGAGAAGACAAGATCAACTACTACAGCTTCGTCCGTGCGTTCTCCAACTGACCTGGCTGGCGAGAGGAAGCAATGCCGCTTTGTGAGCTTGGACCTGCACTTTGAAATATACCTTGTACTCTGTATAGAGGCATTTACAGAGCTCGTGAAAGTATATTTCTTTCTTTCTTTTTTGGTTCTTATAATTTACTGCTTCTGAAGTCTAAGTTAAATTGGATCTTGGAAGAGCTAAGGTTGATGCCTTATTGAGGGAGGTGGAGGTAGGGGTTCTGTGATGGTTAATTTTATTGTCACGTTGACTGGGCCTTGGGATACCTTGATATTTGGCCAAACGTGATTTCTGGGTGTCTGTGAGGGTGTTTCTGGATGTGATTCGCATTCGAATTGGCACAGAGTAAAGCAGATTGCCCTCCCCAGTGTGAGTGGGCTGCATCCAACTCATTAAAGGCCTGAATAGAAAACCCTTCTCCAAGTAAAAGTGAATCCCCACCACCACCACCCCATGCCTTCACACTGTGACATCAGCCTTTCCTGCCTTCTGACTCAAACTGAAATGTTAGCTCTTCCTGGGTCTCAAGCATGCTGGCCTTCAGACTGGAATTGCTCCATCAGCTCTCACGGGTCTCCTCCAATTTGCTGACTTGTCAACCTCCATAAGCATGTGAACCATTCCTTATAATAAATCTCATTCTCTCTCCACGTATCCTATTGTTTCTGTTTCTCTGGAGAGCCCTGACCAATGCAGGTGTACAATGAGTAGGAGTGGAGGAAAGACAGAATTGGCGAGGAGATGCATCGTTCGGGATTTGGGGAATAAACACACACTACTGGTGTTGCTGCCTGCCAAGGCCTCACTCCCCACCTGCCTGCCTGCCCCAGGAGTACAGGGAAGCACACCACGTGTTCTCCACACTGTGGTCTAGGCCCTTTAGTAGGCCTGCATTTATGAACAATGAAAGAATAGAAAATGCCAAAGTGTGACAGGTACGTGACATTTCATGGAACCTTGGTTTCAACAGCGTGTGTATTCACTGGGTCACTATGCAAAATGTATTTCTTGATGTGGTTTGTAGTAAAAAACAACAAACAAACAAACAAAAGAGAAGAAAGAAAATTGAGAAGAACTCTGCTTTGAGAGAGCCCACCTCGAGAGAGGAGGGAACGACCGGCGACAGTTCCTGTTTGCTGAGAGCTCGGTGACCTTGTAGACTCGGAGCTGCTCCTCAATCGGCCGCCAGATTCACCCTTCCAAGTCCTGCCCCAGACTCCCGCTACCTACGAAGTGTTGTACAGGAGGATGGAGTTCATGTGATCAGGGTGCCCGGCCCTCTCTGAGCTGGTGGTGAACGTCCTTGGTTTTCCTCTCCTAATAAGCCCCCTCGAAGCAGCTTAATAAAAGGGCTGTGGATGTCTCATGTCGATTCCCTCTTTCTACTCCAGGCTGATATCTCACGAAGAATCCATGTTTGATGTTGTTTCCCCCAGTCACACAGAACTATTTAAACAGTCTGATTTTCAAGTATTTAAAAGTCTAAAATAAAAACACGAAGCTCTATCCTGCCTGCCCCAGCTCAGTCCTGTGCCAAACTTGGAAGCGGGTCGTGGGGGGGGGGGGCGAGGGGGGTGTCAGGGCAGGTATGGTGAATTTCTTCTTCCTTCTGGTTTCTGTTCCTTCTGCCACATTCAGCTATATTGCTGTTTCTGGCCTTCATAGTGTCTGGAAAGGTAGTGGGTAGAAACCAGAGGAAAAGAGCAAAATCTTATCACTGCGGCAGGCAAAGTCGCAGGCTGGGGTCAGGGCCCTAGAGGCTGGCTCTCTCCTCCCTCCCCCCTCCCCCCTCCCCCAGGGCACCTCTGCTGTGAGTTCTCAGGACGCCTTCCCACAAGAAGCCTGACGCCTCGCAGTGGCTAGCCTCAGAGCAGCTGCCCGCTCTCACAGTGCACCCCTCCAGGCTCTCTCAGTGCACCCCTCCAGGCTCTCTCAGTGCACCCCTCCAGGCTCTCTCAGTGCACCCCTCCAGGCTCTCACAGTGCACCCCTCCAGGCTCTCACAGTGCACCCCTCCAGGCTCTCTTAGTGCACCCCTCCAGGCTCTCACAGTGCACCCCTCCAGGCTCTCACAGTGCACCCCTCCAGGCTCTCTCAGTGCACCCCTCCAGGCTCTCACAGTGCACCCCTCCAGGCTCTCTCAGTGCACCCCTCCAGGCTCTCACGCCCCGGGGCCTCTCAGAGGGGCCTTTCGGCCGACCGCCTGCCAGGGCGTCCACTCTTGCCCAGTGCTCCCACCCTGTCACCCCCCGGAGCCCAGCCAGCCTCTTTCCTTGACACTTGTTTCAGGCGAGAATCGGGCACCTCGAGTCTTGTGCTCTTCAAACTCCAGGGTACACGTCAAGCCCCGAGTCTAAGGCACGGCTGTCGCTCAGCGTGTGCACCTCCAGCTCTCGGACGCCCTTCCCAGACCTCGCCCAGGGACTCTCCCTCACCCTGCCGCTGGGGAGGAGAGCAGTCCGCCCCGCTGCACCCCTCCTCGGCAGGTCTCCGTGGAGCTCCCCCAACCTGCAGTACGTGGAGATTCTTGCCCGGTTTTGTCCTTAACCAACGTGGAGACAGGAAAGAAAAGTCTCCTTTAACATCCTGCCACCTACCTTTGAGAGCCAAGTGCTCACTGCCCTCTGAGCTCAGTTCTGACATCTTTGCCCCTTTTATTCTCTCCTATCTTCCGTTGTAATGGGACCAGGATTAAAATGCCAGCCTCACTGTTAGAGAAGTACCTCAGAGTAAGGTTGGCACCATTCCCATACACACCTTAAGCTTGCTGTCCACATCTCATCTTCCAAGTGTCCCCCAGATAGAGAAGTCAGATCTTCCAGGTACAAAAACTACTTTCCAGGAGACGACGGGCAGGCCATTCCCGTGGAGCGCACACCATGCTTTCCGCCGAGTGATACGAGGCATCCGGGCGTGGGAGACCCCGGATGGCAGTGCAGCCAGCAGGTGTCCTTCCTGCCGCCACACCTGGCGGGCACGCGAGTCCCGGCTCAGGTGCCAGAGGAGAGCTGGGCACCCGCCTGCAGCAAGCTCTACTGTGGGGAGAACGTCCTCTGATCGGCCGCCAGGGCAGAGACACACAGAACCAGCGTCCCGTTGGCATTTGCAGCGGAGGCAGGCCTGACGCGGAGGGATGCTGCCGAAGGATGTGCGTGAGGTGATTTCAGGTGGCGACAGATTTAGGGCTAGTAAAACCTGCCTTTGAGGGGATATGGGCTGCGGGTTACCACCACTCGGGCCCTAGGCCTGTACTCTGTTCCGCCGGGGGGCCTTGAAACTACATCTAATTAGTGTAGAGATGAATGCTTCCAACTCCCCTACAGGCTTTGAGGGTATTTGGGACCAAGAGGCAGAGAAGACACTTCTAAATGTTCCCAGAGAATCGAGGGTCACCCATCACTTGGGTGACTCCTGAATATCCTGTTGGCGTGTGAGCATCAGTAGGTTCATTAAAAAATTAATGTACTAAGTGCTTTATTTGTAACTTAGCATTCACTGTCCCTAAATCCTACCACTGCCACTCCCAGCAAAAACAAGCAAGAAAACCAACCCCCAGAACTGTGGAGCACAGGTGAGCAAACAGGCTCAGAAAGGTTACCTGTTCCAGGTCACCTCGCTTCTCACTGCAGAGCACGGCAACCCGAGCCGGCCCCAGAGCCTGCCCTCCACCAGCGCCACTCGCCTCCGCCTCGGTCAAGCGTCTCCTGTCTAGTCCTCATGCCCTGTGGGTGTCCTTGGCTAACGGCCACCTGTAACTGGACTCCTCTCCTGAACTCTCTCTGAAGATGGTTCTGGAAAACACAGCAGAGAGCTGCAGGCAACAGGCCATCTAACTGACACCAGCAACCCCCACTGCCCACCATGATCACTAACACTCGGACCTCTATTCATTACAAACACAAATATTTGGTGGCTTTTGCCATCTTCTCCTAGTCAAACGACTTCATAATGCAGCAGGCATCACGCATGGCGTACTTCCCTGTGGTGCTTCCTGCTCCCAAACCCTATGTCGAGAAACTTTTCCACTTTTATACCTTACTGTTATAGACTCAAATAAAAATGCTTGCTATCACCTCGTATCAGTATTACTTTCTCCTCCTTAATTCCTATTCCCTAATTCACATGAGCTCAGTTAACAAATATATTTCAAAAGATACATGACTTATAGAGTGAAAACTGTTAGAGATCAGACTAAAATTGACACTCATTTTTTGTCAAGTAAAAGCAAAGGTAAGACTCCAGATCAAAAAGGAATACAAAGAATTATACCAGAGACTATCAGAATAATTCTATGCTTTTTATTCAGTTATTTCAAAAATATTTGCTGATCATTTTTTTCAAAATGTACATTTAAAAAATCCATACAAAACTGTAATTTGTTTTCAAACCAGAGAGAAACAGTGGAAAAAGGATTTTGAAAAAAGTTCACTGAAAGTAAAAAGACCCCCCCCCCCCAAAAAAAAACACAGAACCTTTTACATGAGCATAAATACGGCAGGTACAAATTTTCCTTGAGTTCCTTGCTGAAATTTGGTCCATAACATGAACAGGCTAAAGTAGAAAAACAGACACTTTTGTCCACATTTGCATTGAGTTGCTCAGGGCACCAACAGCCTCAGCTTATCCTTCAGATGTTTATTAAACAAGAGGAACTGAAAAATGAGGTGTAGTCTCACCCACAAATACTGGAATCTGTACCCACGGAAATGGTGGAACTTACAGGCAGATCCGACCAGGTGGACAGGGCTGTCCACACATGGCTAAGACTCGGAAACTCTCCACGGAAAACGAATGCTTCTAGGCAGTGACGGTGATACCTCGGTGTCACCCAGATCTGCAGGCAACAGACCATCTACCTGACACCAGCAACCCCCACTGCCCACCATGATCTATAACACTCGACCTCTATTCATTACCAACACAGATCTTACTCCCAGACACCGACTTGTTCATCTTATTAATGCCCCTTCATGAGGATAGTCTTTTTCTCCTTTTCAACAGATTATAAAAACATTACCTGGACTTCTAAGATGATGCTACAATGTTCTACGAGAGTGCCCCAGAAACCCACCCAGGGTCACGAGAATGACAGCAACAAAGGGAAAGTGGCTAACGTTTGTTCTGGGGGGGTGACGACTGCCCCTCCCGTGGGTCCCTTCCCTTCCCCACAACAGGGCGCTGGAAGGGACAGCGAGGCCTGTGGACGACCACTGGCTGGGAGGGTTATTGCACAACCCGGAAGAGCAAAGGAAAGGCAGGCGAGGGGCGGGTGGGGGAGGAGCTGCTGCTCACACAAGGTAACACTGAATTAGGAGCTCGAAGAAGTTCTGCCACGCCGACCTAGACCCACCGTCGGACAGGTGTCTGCAAGTTACACTTGGGACTACAAAGTAAACACCACTGTCACACAAACTTTGGGTTGAAGGGGAAGCAAGAGTTCAGAGGAGGTGACTTCAAGGGTACCTTTCTTTATGGGGGGCTGGAAGAGCAGGGCTCACCGCGTGGGGGGAAGAGGCACACCTGGGCTCAGCACCCCGGCCCACGAGCTCCCTCCAGGTCTGCGACACAGGTGGGCCTTCCCTGGCAGGCCTGAAAACTGCCTCCAGGGAGATGCAGGGCCAAACAGAGCACACCGCAGACCTCACACAATGGTGGGGGGGGGGGGCAAACGAGGCAAAACTGTCACAATCTGCATCCCTTTTATATGTGACTACACCGGGGCCCAGTGTCCTTGCCTGTTCCTGACAAACAGCCCTTGAGCCCCGGCGCCCGGGCTGGCCACACAGTACAGGCGAAGGCTGGAGACCACCCAGCAAGTAAGGCACTTCTTACACAGAAGGAAGGGGAATCGGCCATGGACGACACTCGCAGGCTGCCGAGCACAGGGCCACACGGAGCCAGCGGCCCCGAGCTTTTCTGAGACCTCCATAGAAGATTGGGGCGGGGGGAGGCATGAGGCAGCCGAGGAGGAGGTCCTTCTCAGTCTTTGGGGAGGAGGCACGACATTCACACAAGAACAAGAACTGGGGTAGACGGAGAAGTTAGTCAAGGCGTCCTCACTGGGCCAACTACAGGTGGGAGAGGGAGTCTCTAGGCTTCAGGTCACCCGCCAAAGAGCGGGAAGGCAGGGGAGGGTACAAAGACCACTCGGCTGTTCCAGCTCTTAGCCCCCAACACCCTCTTCCCAAGAGCAGAAGCTTGTGAAGACCAGGGGCGGAATCCACTCCCAGGGGCCACGGCGGCCCCGCGGCGGGGAGCGAGCCTGTCCTGGCTCCCTGGCCGAGGAACCACCGGGAGGGCTGAACCACCGGGCGTTTCTTGCGCGGCGTCTTGGGAGGGGATGTCCTCTGCCCCCACCTCTTCTTCACCACTTAGAAAAGAGGTCAAAGGGCACTGAGGAAGAAGGTCCCCCAAGATGACCCAGCAGCACACACCCCTGGAAGAGCCAGCCCAAGCTTCTGGGGCGTCCAGGGTCCGAGGGGCTGAGGTCCGACAGAGAGGCCGGAGCACAGATGGCTATCTGGGTTTCTGAAATGTTGTTAGGTTCTGCCCTGGACAAATGGACACGGTTCTCTTGGCAATGACTTCGGTCTGGGGGCGCAGACACGCACAGGGCCAGAACTGACTAGATGGGAGCAGCAGCCCCCTCTTGGCTCGGCCTGCTCCCCTTCCCTCAGAACTGTCCCCTACCTTCTAAAGGGACACATGTGACTTATTAATAGTGCAGCTCCCAGGGCCTGGATGGTAAAAATAACTTTCCCATCGCTGAGCCTCCAAGGAGGGAATCGGCCCCTCTGCTCCTCTCCTGCCGTCGGCCTGGCTGTCCCCAGCGGTGCCCGTCAGAGGTGTGGAGGGGCAGCGGCTGCTGAGGCCGAGGAGCCTGCGCTCTGCGGGTGGCACCGAGCCGGCCTCTCCCACGCGGGGTGTCTCACAGGGCCCCGGCTGGCGGTTCGCACGCTCGGGAGTGTTTCAGATGGAAGGAAAGAGCCAAAGTGGCCCAACCAGGACAAGCCAGCCCAAAGAGCTCACGGAATGGGGTGGAATCGAGCTATTCTGGCCGCTGGCGACATGGTTTGAGCCAACCTGCCAAAGACTTGGCTCTGCTCTGAAAGAAATGTGCCCGGAACGCCGTGGGGTGACATGCACCCTACAATGACCCTCTTACCCCTTCCCTCAGATCACTGCCAAAGCCCCGTGGGTGAGATGCTGGCCTTCCTGTCTCAGGTGTTTACAGAACAGAGATCTGACTCCCCTTCCTCACTGAACAATCCGTGCCCTGGACAACGGAGCTGAAGCCACCTGGCCCCAGGTGGTGGCCCCGCGGGGCACTCGGAGCTGCTCTCGCACCCACCCCAGCTCTGCTGAAGGACCCACTCCCGTTGAACAGAGCTCACCTGAGGACGCCTCCTGCCCAGGGAGCGCCCGGGGCAGGTGGGGAGGCTGCGGGCGGAACGGCCATCAGCAGCCACCAGGCCACCCTTTTACTATGGTTCCGCCTTGCAGGCCAGAGAGGTGTCAGAGAAAGGGAGAGGTGCCTGTTTTCAGAAACACTGTCCCCCTTCCCGAGAGGAACCAGAAGCAGCACCTGATCCTGAGAGATGAGGGTCTACATGGTGTTAGGAAACGAATCCCTCAGCCTCTGGGGATTTAAAACTGATCTCGGATGCAGGTGATGAAAGACCCATCTCCCCATTCTGGACAGTAATCCAAAGCTTGGCTTCTACTGTGATGTCAGAAAGAGGGCCAGCCCTTCAGATGACCCTCACATCCCTGCACCCACAAGAAGGGCTCCCATCACCGCAGCACGGGGTTCAGTTCTTACACAGGACCTCTGAGGGCCCGCCCTTCTGTGGAAGCCGACAAGGCCCAGCAGGACACGGAGGCCTCGCCTCGGGAGGAAGGTAGGACTAAGTGAAGGACAGCACCAGGCCTCGGCACGGTCTGCTCACCCAGCCAGCCTGTCCTGTTAACCCCATCGACAGCGGGGCGTGCTCAGCGTCAGCAGACGACGACGACGACAGTTCCAACAACACTCGACCAGGGGCCAGGGCCGACCGGCACGGTGCCCTCCCGGGGCGGCTGTTCCCGTGGGTGCAGAGATGAAGCCAGGCAGCAGGGCTGGCCCTGACAGGACGGCCTGGGCCTGGGCTGCGGACTGGCACGTGCCCGGCCGGCTTTCACGGCTGTCAGATCTGGTTCCGGATGCTGGTGAACGGCTGGCAAAGCAGGTGCAGCGGGGCTGCTGAAGGCAGGCCTGGGCCGGCCCCACTGTCCCTTCGCGGGAGAGCGGCTGTTCCGCACGCCTGCTCTCGCTCTGGAGAGTGGGGAGACCTGTCCTACACCCTGCACCTCCTCAGCAGGGCGAGGGCAGCTGGGCCCGCGCAGGGCCAGCCACTGGCAAGCCGTCTTCTGGACCCAGCCGTCGGGTCACCAAGCCAGTGCCTGGGCGTTTTCACCGGGAGCGGCGGCGCCGCCGCGGGCCTCTGGACAGTGCACGCAGAACTGGAAACGCACCTCGTCTGTCAGCACCAAGAGGGCCGGTCTCTCCTCTTCCTGCCCATCCACACGGGGACCCGGGCCGCTGCTGGCCCAGGCGCAGGCTTCTCAGGACGAGGCTTCTAGACTCTGACAGGTCCTGGGCCGACGCCGGGGCTGAGGGGCCAGGACTACGATCTCAGCTCCCTCATGGTAAAAATCAAGACAGAAAAACTGCGCGACGTGGAAGAGACGCGGAGAAGAAAGCAGCAGCCGTGAAGCAGGGGACAGCGGCCGCGGCAGAAGAGGACCGCGAGAACCTGGGTCCAGAGCACCCAGCAGAGCCGAGAGGAGGTGGCTGAGGGACGGGGAGATTTTTGGTTTTATTGAGAACGATGTACGGAGAATGAGAGAAAGCCAAGAAGTGAGAAAGAGGAACGGTCCGTTTAAAGACAGGTTCCTGCGGTTCAGATGGAGCCTCGCGAGCAGGAGGGGGCGGGACGGAGGCCGAGCTCCCGCTGCCTGCTGGCCCCAGAGAGGATTCCTGTTCTCAGCACTTTGGCCTTAAGGAGACTTGAGTTTCTTAGTCCGTGGGGAGGCTCCATTCTCTGCTTTCACCACTCCGTTTTCGTGGTAACCTAGGGAGTAAAGGGAGACAGACATGGTGTTTCTGCTGGGACTGGAGAGGGGAGGAGGGTGGGGGCCCAGGCAGCCGGGCCTGGCTGCTGCCCACAAGACGAGCTGAGGGACCCGGTGCACTGCCGCGGGGGCTCCTGTTCTCCCCGGGGTCTTGCTACCAATGGCTCGGTTCAGGTGGCTGGTCTCTGACGGCCCTTTACGGGGGGCGGGGTGACGCGCAGGGACCAGGACCAGGAGAGGCCTGAGGCCGGGCCAGATCCTTGCTGAAATCTCTCAGCTGCCACATGTCCTCAGTTTCCTCCAGGCCCCGCAGGGCCGCCGCCGCATCAGCAGGACTCCCGGGAAGGTGAGGACAGAGGGGAGGTAGAGAGGCTACAGGGACAAGGCCTTACTCAGATGCCCAACACTCCTCTGGCAGAAACATTCAGGGCGGAAAAAAGATCTTCTTATTGTCAAACACACACCATGTGCTTGCTCCGAGTCACAGAGGCACGTCTGGCGGCCGCCTCACGCCCCGCACCCACCCAGCCGAGCACGTGTCTGGTGCAAACCCAAGCCCTTGCCAAGCAGGCCACACCTGGGGAAGGCAGGTGAGTCAGAAAGCACCCTGGTGCAGACAGGCCTCCGCTGGTCGGGCCCCAGGCCCAACGGGGCGGCGTGTTCCTGGAGTGCGGCAGGGCCTCGGGGGCAGGGAGCATCCCACCCCAGCCGCCCACCGTCACTGTGCCACCTGGAGGCCTAGAGACAGAAGAGGAGCCAGCGCCTGGGAGGCGGGGTGGCCACAGGCAGAGCAGAGGGCAGGTGAGGACAGAGGAGCGGTGCCGCCCAGGGAGCAGGCGCAGAGCTGACTGGCGTCCAGAAGCCACCCTGAGGACAGGCTTCCTGCCAGCATTCCCCGAGCAGCCACTGCCCTGCCCCAGTGCCCCGCCCAGGCGGCCCCTGGCCCACACCCAGCCACGTGCCAGCCAGGCCCAGGCAGGAGCCCAGTCCGGAGAAGGAGTCCAGGAGGCTGCAGGGCTGGTCTGGGTAGAGCCCAAGGAGCCCAGCCCTCACTCCTTCTCACCACCCTGGACAGACGCGCCACTGCCTGCCCGAGGCCCTGGCACTCACCAGATTCCCTCTTGATGAGCCTTGATGGTAGTCTAGGGGCCGCTGGGCTTCTCCGCTTGGCGCTCTGCTCGGTCCAGTATTCCCGCCAGTGCCGCAGCTGGGAGTGGATGAAGCGCCACATGAGCCAGGCCTGGGCAGCGCACACCAGCAGCAGCACGCAGAGCCTGCAGGGCAGAGTGGGGAGCTCAGGGGGGTCAGGCCCCCAGCCCCCAGCAGAGGATCTTGAAGTTGAGACCCTGCTGGACCCCGCCCCCCTCGGCCCGGTGTGCCCCCTCACTGCACCAGGAGGAGCATGGGGTTCAGTGCCCCACCTCCGCTCTAGCACACTGCAGGGATGGTGCGGGTGCACGGGGCCAGGGAGACCGGGAAGGAGGCAGCGACAGATGCAACCACACTGTCCCCACGCCCTGCTGGGACCCACAGCCTGGCCCTTCTGTGCCCACAGCATGGAACACAGCTCGTGTCTGCTCCACACTACAGGAAGAATTCAAGTGGGTTATGATACGGCAGCGATCGTTCTGAGTGGCTTCTCACCTAGCGTGGCACTTGGAGGCTGGGCAGCCCTGGACCGATCACACCCTCCCAGGCCCAAGGGTCTCGTGGAAACACAGTGGCTTCCTCACTGCCTTGGGAGGCCACGGCCAGTCCAAGAGCAGCTGTAATGATCCCCGAGAGGCCGGGTAAGAAACCTACTGAGCGCCCCAAGGGGGGATTCCCACGTGAGCCGAGGCCTGACTAGTCTTTCTGGGCAGGGCCAGGAAGTGAGGATGTTCTGATGGAAACGGAAGGCTGGCATCTCTTCTGCCATCAGGCCTGACATCCAGAGATTTCCATAAATATCAACACACAGCACACGCAGGGCTCTGCTGCCTCCTGACCTGCAGAGGCTGTGCCAGGTTCGGGGGCCCCTGGGAGCCCTCGGGGACCCTGATTTGTCACCCTGCACTTCTGCCCAACTCACCTGCAAAGTAAGGTGTTAAAGTTCCCTTTCTCGGGGTCAAAAGCTTGGTTTTCCACGCGAGCAAGTCCAAAGCCGATGGCCAGCACGGCGAGGGTGAGGATGCAGAGGCGGGTGACCCCAAACACAGCAGCCCAGGCACTGAACCTGCTCGCAGAGGGGGAAGGGACGGCCGCCTTAGGGCCCACGGGGGAACCTTCACCCAGTTCTCCAGAAGTGACCCCAAATGGGAAGAAAGGTCGAGGGTGCTGAGGGGTGAGATATCTAGAATACGCTGCTCCAGGAAAATAAGGAACCTGCAGTTGCTGCCACTAAGGGCCAGGTGATGCCCAAGGCTGTCCCCCACCTGCAGGCCTTCTGAGCAGGCAGGCCTCCCGGCCACCCCACTTACAGCTTCTCGTTGTTCTCGTCCGCGAAGTAGAAGAGCCGGGCCATGTGGAAGAGGAGCTCGGTGGAGTACTGCAGCAGCAGCAGGATCAGCCCCAGGCGGCTCAGGCTGGGGAGAAAGAGAGCTGGTCACGGCTCCGGCACCTGGCCCGGGACTGAGCATGAGAGGTGCTCAGAACGAGCGGCTGAGCTCTACCCAGAGAATCAGGGATTCCTACCGTCTAATTTTTCATTATCTGGGTCTTTACAGCGAAGAGGTACACGAAGAAGCAAAACTCAACGTAATGCAACAATCTACGCTAGTGAACTGCACTCTTGATAAACAGCTCCCACTCAGACACCCTCCCTGCCTGACCCCAGGCATGCCGTGGTTACTGCCTCCTCAGGCAGCCTGCTGCAGATGGTCAGCTGTCCTTCAAGCGCAAAGTGGAATTACTGATCCTGCTGAACATGCAGAAAGTCACAAGATAATCTGGGAGCCCTCCCACAGGTGGTCATAAGTAAGGATCCGGCCGCTTCCACCCAGTGAGACCAAAGAAGTGCAAAACCAGTCCAATGGTCACCGGATCCTGAGGATGGTCCAGAGAAGGATGTGGAAACTCGCCAGTGTCTGCATGTGGCCCAGAAAGTCTGGCATGGCCTTCCCCATGACTTCGTCTCAAACCTCACCTTCTGCACTCCAGCCCCTCTGGACTTTCCGCTCCCTCCCACCTCAGGGCTGCACACCTGCTGACCTTGCGCCTGCGCAGCTCCCCCAGATCTCTGCGCACCTGGCTCTCGTCAGTCATGCCTCTGCTTGAGCTGCCCCTCAGAGAGGCTCTCCCTCACAAGCACATGGTGCTATGCTGCGTCGCCCTCATCACCCTGGAAACCCTGCTGACTTACTTCCTAGGGTATGGTCTGCCTCCCACTAGAACGATACCCAGGTGAGCAGGGCCTGTCTGCCTTCACCCAGAGGGAACTGCAGGTCGTGGCCCACAGGAGGGCTCAGGTCTGTGTGAGTGAGCGAAATCCTGCAAAAGCTAAGCTCTTCACCACGCGAGCCCACACCCTTGGGCATCCCAGAGGTCTGTCTCCTTGGGAAGCCCTGTGGCAGCCAAGGGCCAGTCCTTCCCTGCACTCACTTCGGAAAACCTGAGCAAGGATGGAGGAGATAGGAGCTCACGCTCCCTGAATGAGCAGAGAGGCGCTGCACTGGGACCGGTGCCTGCCTCCCGGGGAACGGGGTGGGCGTGATTTTGGAAGATCTGTTGCTCCCTGCTCCTTCGGTCTGATTCTCATTTCAAAACAAGAATTCACAGGACTCGGTGCAAACAGGGTCAGACACCTGCCCTTGTCCTTCCCTGGGACATGTCAGGTGCAGAGAAACACAGATCTTGGAGCATCTCACATCTCTGGGAGGAAGAGGGACCCAACAGCAGCAGGAGCTCCCCTGTGTGGTCGTGCCTGAACCTGCTCACCCCGTCCTCATCACACACTGCAGGGGTGACAGCACGGACTGGCTTCCTCAGACCCACTCTGCACATGAACATGAGCATCCGACACGAGAGCAGAGCCGGTCCAGCCACACAGCCTTCGCCCCTCAAGCCCCATCCGGGAGTCCTCACTGTCCGAGGCCCCCGAGACAGAACAGATCTGGAAGCTACCTTCCCCTGACGTTCCGAGTCCATAATTTTCACAGGATGCCTGCTGCGAGGACCCAGGAGACGACGGTCCCGAGACCTCCAGGTTGCTTAGCGGCAAGTTACACATCACAAGTTCTCAGAGTGCGACCTAGAGAGAGGGCAGGACGCTCTCCTGGCCTGCATGGGCAGCGCTCAAAAAAACCCAAATTAGCCCTGACATACCCTGTTTATCAGTATGAATCTTTTCATGAGACACTCCAGGCCAAACACTATAGCAACTCTCTCGACTTCTAAACAACCAGCAGCAGCCACTCTGTATTTCGTGACAAATCAAAGGGGGGCTTGTGAGGTAGGGACCCAGGGCAGGCTGCCTCCCACCCAAGGGCCACAGGTCAAGTGCCAGCATCCCTGGGACGCCCTCCATGGCTGTCCTGGGTGGGGTGGTCACCCCGAGTCCCCCTGGCAGACGACACATGCAGTGTGTAGCCCACTGTGTGTTTCGCTGTCTCCTGGGCCGAAGACGCTCCACTGAAGGCAAAGGCATCTCCCACCTTCTGCCTCTGTACTCCCAGGCCTTAGCCTGGTGCTCAGCACGCGGAAGGCACCTAATACATGCCTGGTGACAGAACGCACATGGGAGACGCGCAGGCCCGAGGCCGCACTCACTTGAGGAGGTACGCGCCGGCGATGTGCACCAGGTAGAGGCAGATGTACTGGAGTTGGCGGGGAACTTCCTCCTGCGGACGAGAAGTCGCAGTGAGTGTGCTGGCTGCTCACTGAGGAGGCAGGAGGGAGGGAAGGACAGGGACCCTGGCCCCCTCCCCGAGGCTGCAGGCAGTCCCCGGTCAGAGTGAGGGCCAAGCGGCCTCAGGGCCACAGTCAGAGGGCGGGGTTGGGTTGAGAAAGAAGGGACAGGGACTGGGGAACAGGGCTTCTGGAAATGATTCAGAGGGAAGCTATTTAAAAACAAAAGACTGTAGGAAAGGAATAAACCTCTCCTTCCGCCATCCGCCATCCGTAAGATGAGAGATTTTCCCCAAAGCCACACACATCCACACACATGTCAAGTGTGGAGGCAGACTCGAGACGGATGCTGGTGGCCTCTCTCGGAGGTCGTCCTGGGGACTTGACTCAACCAGTCAACACGGCCCCATCACCACCCAGCCCTCTGGGCTTCTAGGGGGAGGGACAGGGGCCCACTGGGAACAGCGGGGGCAGGGAGGATGCTCGGCTCCGGGGCGTGAGGACTCACCTTCCGTACCTTCTGGAAGTACAGCTCAGGAAGTGCATGCAGCCAGTAGGCCAGCTGGCACAGGTAGAAAAACTTCACCTGGAAGCTGGAGACAAGGGAGCGAGTTGGGGGGGGGGGGAGCACTGTGGAGCCTGCCAAGCACAGGCGAAGGGCCAGGGCCAGGTGCGAGGGCGGGAGGGGTCAGCCAGCACCGTGCTCCTGAGCCTGGGGACCCGCTTCCACAGACAGACCACTTAGGGGGACACAGAAAGACACAAAAATGAGCACTGGCCGGGGGCGCGGTTGGCTGCAGCGTTGTCCGTACACCAAAAGGTTGTGGGTTCCACCCCCAGTCAGGGCATGTATGCGAAGCAACCTGTCGATGTTTCTCTCTCTTCCCCTTCCTCTCCCTTCCTAAAATCAATACAAACATATCCTGGGGTGAGGACAGAAAAGACAGAAAGAGTGCAGAGGAGGGGGTGTCAGCCTGGGGAGGGGAGGGTGAGGAGGGGCCTGGGGAGGGGAGGGTGAGGAGGGGCCTGGCTCCAGGGTGAGGAGGGGCCTGGCTCCAGGGAACTGTGGGTGCAGAGGGGTGGCAGGAACACTCAGGAACCAAAGGCCCTAAGCAGCTAAAGATCCAACTCGGCTGAAGCCCTCCGTCCTCACTCTACAGGGGAAGAGCAAGGCCCCCCTGGTGTCTCCAGAGCAGGACAGGGAGGGCCTGCTGCCTCGGACGGACACCAGCCATGGACGGTCAGGAGAAGCATGTGCTCTGGACGTGAGTGGGTCACCAAGGTCAAAGCCAGAGAACCTGACGGAGATGCCCTGCTTCTGTGTCTCACATGGTTTAGGGGCCTGCTCCAGATGGAATGTCTATGTCCCCTCAAAACCCACGCTGACACCGATCCCCGGGGTGATGGTATTAGGAGGGGCCTTCAGAAGACGACCTGGTCTTGGGGGCAGAGCCCTCAGGAGTGGGATTAATGTCCTAGAGGCCCAGAGAGCGCCCTCTCCACTCTGCCTTATGAGGACCCAGGCAGAGCAGGGCCGTCTGTGAACAGGAAGTGGGCCTTCACCAGACACGGACTGCGGGCACCTTGACGTTGGACTTCCAGCCTCCAGAACAGAGAGAAACACACCTCTGAGGTTCACGCACCGCCCCTGAGTCTGCGGGGCTCTGTCACAGCCGACCATCCCCGTGACAGGCCAGTGCACACAGCACGTCACTGGGGGTCCCCAGCCCAGCAGGCTGGGAGGAGGGGGCACCCGCACAATCTGCCTTCCCCTAGACCGCGCCCAACAGGCTGCATACGGCTGGTCCTCACGCCAGCTGGCTCCTCCCTGGAGACCATGTCAGGAGCATACTCACGGGAGGTACACGTGTGGGTAGTCTTCCCAGAGGCTTCTCGGGTTTGTTAGATATCCTTCCTGTAGGTGAGAAGGGACGGCATTTAGAGATGTGAAGGCAAGACCTGCTGGGGCCCAGGGGTCAGGGGCCAGGGGCCAGGGGTCAGGGGCACAGCGAATCCCTGGCTGCAAGAACGAGGGAAGAACAGGAAATGTGAACTGAAGGGCCTCTGGGGGCCACTGGCCCTGGCTGGGGTCTTTGCTGACAGGGCAGGACAGGCCCAGTGAGGTCAGAGGCCTGGTGCTCCCCACTGCATCCCACCCACGGGCAGGTCAGAGCAGCTGCCGGCCGTCCACGTGCCAGCCGGTGCTATGTGACCGAGTCGAGCGTGAGCCTGGCACGTGGCACTCAGGACATGCTCATGGAATGAAGTGCAAACAGGCTCTAGGATCACCGTCCACTGGACGAACGAAAGGCTGGTTTGGCTTTTCAATCACCACGAATACAAACAACAGCAGGCCCATAGGCCTCGCCCCAAGGCCGCATAAGCGTAACACTCATCACTGCGTCACCATGGCCAGCCACCTCCATGGCTCCGCAGGTTCCTTCAGGCTGTGGCCTGTCCCTGCCCGTCCTTAAATCTCCAGCATCTCCAGGGCCTCACACAGAGCGGGCACCCAGGGCCTCTTACCGAGGAGGGGATATAACCCAAAACCCTCCTATCAAAAACTGTCTAGAAATGATGGATGAAATCTAACAAGTATTCTTTGAAATGCAAAGTTGAGCTCACAGTAAGAAGGGGAACCCCTGGGACCCCAACAAGGATGGGGAGCTAAAGGCCACAGCAGCAAGGCGAGGCTGTGGGGCCAGGGTGCTCGTGCTCACGTGGGAACAGAAGAGGGCGCCTCGGGAGGGGAGCCTAGGACCCGTGTGTAACATGAAGACCCTTAAAGGTCCACAGCCTCAGGAAAAGCAGACTAGAAGGAGTCTGACGACCAGCACAGGAGGAGATGTCTGCTCACCCTGGGCTGAGGATGAAAACAAAAATACTATCCCTTGACAATTTATGGGCCGAGATTTGCTTTCACAGGGGTCTGGAGTTCAACTCTATACCACCCCTGTGGTCCAGAAACCAGCAGGCTCAGAAAGCAGTATTAATGGTGTTGTGGGCCAGTGATCCCATCGGGACATACGCTCATCCAAAGACATACAGGACCCTCATACGTAAAACCTCGCTAAAGATGAGTGTATAATCCGAGGTTATAGAACACGGGAGAAAACAGTCACCATGAGCAAGAGAGGGCCGAGGAGGTAAGGTTAGTATGACCTCATTTCAGAAACGGGAATGGAGGGCCAGATAGGAAGGATCTCCTGAAACAAGAAGCTTTTTCAGTAACAACTAAATCTGAGCGGGGCCACCAACCTCCTGGTCTGATCCCCTCAGGCCCAGCTGCTTCAGTGCATCAGAAATTAAGTGAAGCTGGCTGCTGGCTTTGATGGAGAAGCCGAGACCTCAGACGTCCACCCTGGGACTGAGGGCAGGGGTTTGCAGTGCCCAGGAGGAGGCCAGCATGCCGTAGCGAGAAGCACCCCAGGTTACTACCTGTTGAATCCTCAGTTTACCTATCTCGAAGTAAGGGCCGATCCACCCCCCTCAGTGGCACTCAATGCCCCGGTATGTTCCTCAGCCCCAGGCCCACACCTTGGGGCCTCATCAGCAGTGGCGGGACTGACAAGTCCAATCAGGTGCATGCATCAGTGTAGCCATGGTAACGCCGAAGTGCAGGACCGGCCCTCGCGGCTTCCTTCTAGCCCCTTCTCATGACGGCCACCGTCTCCCTCGGTCACACAGACTGGCACAGCGGTGGGAGGTCTGGCACCAGGGGGTGGCAGAATGCCTCCCTGCACCCACACACCTGCCTTCACCAGAACGCCGGACCCACTCTCTACCTCGTTCCACGGAAATCAGAGGCGAGACTGTTCCTTTCTAGAGGAACGCCGCAATGTATTTAAGGAGGGAAATGGTCCTTCTGGGACTGAGGTGGGAGAGGAATTTCTTCCCCCAAACAGACTGGCCAAGAGAGGCAGCACTGAGAGAAAGGAAAGCCCAGCTGACCCTGAGATTTTTAACAGGAACCCTCTGTGGGCTGGCCCTATGCTCAGGAGACGAGGAGGCCAGCACGTCGAAGCCAACAAGCAAAGAAAAATGCTGCCTGCTTGCGAATGTCCAGTCCTCCGGGACTGGCAGGAGGGGCTGCAGGAGGAGCCAGAGAACAAATGACTCACTGCTTAAGAACAGCCTTTTCCAGACCTCGGGCCAGGGAGCTTCCTGGCGGGACCTGGGGCGGGGCACCCGTAAGCTCAGGCTTCCAAGTGCCCAGGGGCTGAGTGTGGCCCAAGGAGCACCTGTACCCCACTCCGAACCCCGGCTACCAAGAGGCACCGGCAGAGGGTCTGGGAAGCTCTGGAAATCCTCTGTCCTCTTCTGGTTCTACAAACTGACCTGACCTGTGAGCTAAGTGAGGCCTGAGCAAGCTGGAACAATCTCTCCCTCCCCCGGGCAGCCCTCCTTTCTGGTGCAGGAACAAAAAGAACTGCAGAGACAGCTGAATCCAGTCACAGCACAGCCAGCTGCTCCTGGAGTCAGACACACCTTGTAGCACTTGTTCTCAGGCACAGCCTCGCACCCTGCGTGCTCCTCAGCAAGCAGTGCATTAGCGGAAGGCAGCGCTGACCCCAGCACCCGCAGTAAAGGTGCTCCCTCCACCAGGTTCGCGCTGAGCACTGGACTGGAGGTTTTAAAAGAGGAAGCGAGGCATCCCAGGGACGTCCGGCAGGGAGAACAAATGCCCGCCCACCCTGCTTTCCTCGGGACAGTGTGCGTGTTGGTCCTGACCAACGAAGAGCAGTTCAGAGGGACACGCTTAGAAGAGTGTTGGTTAGTCCAGCCACACTCCCGTCACTGCCTGAATAAATGCAGAGAGGAACATCTGACTCAAACACCAAAATAAAACGGGTTATTTCTGGAGGGAGGGATTTGGAGTAAACTTTTGCTTTCATTTTTCAATGTTTATATATTGCTTACTTTTTAAAAAATGATCGTCTAGAATGTTTATAAAAAGAACCCATTACTTTAAAAGCTGCTGAAGGTTGGAACAAGACACGTTTTGTACTTCATTCATTCTCACAACCAATATTTAGTGAGCAGCCCGAGGTCTGGGGGAGAGACAGAGAGAGAGAATACACATGTGAACAAGAAAACCACCACAGCAAGGGGCACAGTGCAGGCAAGACAAATGGGGTCTCATCAGGTGAAGACTGGCAGGGATGGCAGGGGATGGAGGAGGGGACCAGACCACCGAGCACAGCCCAGCGGGCAGGAGTCAGAGGAGCCCAGGGAGAATGGTGGGGCCGGGACCGGTGAGATGAGATGGCGAGGCCGGCAGGGCCCAGGGCACGGAGTCGGGAAGAAAACGATCTCACTGCTAGCGGGACAGGGCTTGTAAGCAGAAAAGTACATGATCTGATTTACGTTCTAAAAGATCTGGCTGAGCAGGAAAGGGACTGGGGCGGGGGGCAAAAGGTGGACACAGCCTCCTTTTGGAAGGAATATAGGCAGTGATGCAGATGAGCGATGATGGTGGCTTAGACTACAGGTTGGGGTTCCCCAATCCTGGCACTGATTACATCTGCGACCGGGTAACTCTGCTGTGGGGACTGTCCTGGGCACCGTAAGACATTCAGCAGCATCCCTGCCTCTACCCTCTATATGTCAGTAGCATGCTGCTAAGTGTGCCTGGGGGGCAGAGTCTCCCCGGAGAGAACACGGGCTGAGGGTGGCAGTGCAGGCGGAAGGGGCCGACAGAACCCCAGTGTGTTCTGGGGGTGGGGTTGGCAGGACCTGCTGATGAATTGACTGGGGTGGGGGGCAGGGGGTGAAAGAAAGGAGAATCAAGAGAAATGTGCATCATAACATAAAAATGTGACTTAAAGAAACTAGCTGTTGCCCGGCCGGTGTGGCTCAGTGGCTGAGCGTCGACCCTGCACCATTAGGTCGCCAGCTGGATTCCCAGTCAGGGCACATGCCCAGGTTGCAGGCCCGATCCCCAGTGGGGGGCATGCAGGAGGCAGCCAATCGATGTTCTCTCTCATCAATGCTTCTGTCTCTCTCTTCCCTTCTCTCTCCCTAAAATCAATAAAGGAAAAGTAATTTAAAAAAAAGAAACTAGTTGTTTTCACCCCCTTTACAAAACTGCCCTCTCTTCTTCTTCGGCCACTCTCATTCCATGTGGGACTGTCCTACGAGCAAGACAGGGCAGGTGGGGGCTGGGGCGACACGCGGTTAGAGGGTAGAGTGACTAGAGCGTTCCAGGGTCCCCTTGGTCCCCACTTCCTGTTGAAGATGTTGAGTGGAGAACTGCCTGTCACTGTAATAAAAGTGTGTTATGTGCTTTCTCCCTCAAAAGTGCTACATTCTCCCAGACTAATTAGCATCATCATTTTCAAGCCCATGAAGGCTGAGCGGAGCAGAGACAGAGCAGTTGAGAGGTTCACACCCTGGACGGGTGTTAAGTAACTTGGCTGTGGGCCTCCAATCTGGCCTAAATGTGTCACAGCTGTGTGGACCGTCTGGGGTGAGGCAGAAAGGGTAAAAGTGATTCATTCGGAGATGAGGCAATGCTTCTGCTGAAAATCCAGTTAAATGTGGTCCCTGAGGCTGTTCTGCCTCAAAGCAGCTCAGGGTCCCTAGAGGCAGGCAGGAGCCAAACACCAAGGCTGGGGAGAGGTCTGACATCAGAAGTACTAGCTTCCTGGGGTCAGGATGTGTGCTGCACAACAGCAGGGGTGCTGCTCACACAACTGCCTGTAAGTCTCCCCCTGGGACCCAGCGACAGGACAGCGCTGCTCGGGAGGACAGAAGCCTTAGGTCCTGCATTTAAAGATCCTGGTGTTCAGTTCAGGAGAACTGTTCTGTGAAGAAATGACAATGGAAATAAAAGCAATGCACAGAAGAACATGTCAACGTCTTTGAGAAGATGAACTGAACGTTCATCTCTGGAGGCAGAGAGTTCCTTAGGATGTGAAAGTTCACTGCTGTTACTGCAGGAAAAAGAGGAAGGAGGGGACAGTGGAGGAAATTCTAAAAGGTCACAGGCTGCTGAGCTCTCCAATCCCGGGCCTGGATTCCTCATAGGACAATCCCAGCTCCTGAGAAAGAGACCAGGCTGCAGACAGGTGGAGCTCCAGGTTGGGAAGTGGGGGGGGAGGGGGGGGATGCTAATTAAACACTTCATAGCAGGACAGGCCAGGTCTTATTACAGTGAACCCCAAAGGACTGTCCACATTCCTTTGTTCGAAGGAATTCTGCAATATCAAAGGCTGCATGAAATAAGAGTCCTATTGTGCAGGATGAAGAGGTAGATCACTTGTCTGGTCCGCCAGTCACTGTGGGAATGACACTGACCCTCACAGGACTGCCGTGCGACAGGGGGTGCTGGCCTTGCTTGCAGGAAGCCAATGCGGTAAAACAGAAAGTGCACTCAACTTGGAACCAGACCCCGAGTCCAAGCCCTGTCCTGGCCGCTCGGAAAGCGTGTGCGCATGGGCACACCGCGGAGCCCGCGCTGGGGCGCCTGCCCACAGCACGGGAGCCCGGAGGACACAAACGCGTCTCCTGGGATGGCGTCGGTAGGGGTGACTGTAAAATGATCCAGTGCTATCGAGATATACAGTACCATTATTGTAACCTCACATAATAACTATAACAAGTGTTTATTTTTGGACAAGATGATTCTCTCCAGCTGCAAAAATGACATTTATATCATCTGGCCTCTCACAATACCGTGAGGATATAAAAATAGCTTCAGTTCTAGGAAACGGCCCCAAGTTTCCGTATGGCTCCTAACTCCTCTCTTTCCCTGCTGAGCCCTTCAGTTATCAGCAACCCAAGAAGTGCCGTGAGGACCACTCACCGTCGCCGCCACGTAAAAGCACCAGACCACCGAGCTGAGATGAAACACGACCAGCTGTCCAGATTCATTGAACTTGCTGTGCTTGACCTTAGAGAGATGAAGCCGTTTGCTGATTTTCTAAAGAATACAGAGAATCCCACATATTAATATACAGGTGCACTGGTAATGGGCAGGCTGACACTTAATGCAGGCCATAACACACATTATTCAGTGTAAACCTACTGAGTGCATTCAGTGCTTAGTATAAAGCAAGCATTTAGAGACAGCAGCAAGATTCGTGTCCCTAGCCTAGACATAAAGAAAACAGCCCCCGCCCAAACTCGGTATGACAGACCACATGGCACTGTCCTGTCCTGTCTCAGGCAGCTCTCTCCGTGTAATCAATACTGCTGTCTCGCGTGCTGGCTAAAGAAGCCTGCAATAGGGACGGGACCAAGTGCCCCGTCAATTCGGCCAAGCAGGGCATGCAAATCGGGTGAAGAAGTTCAGAGCGCCTCCAAGGTGAGCTCCTGCAGACCCAGGCATCTCCCCAGTTGCTGGTTTCGGAATCCAGACACATCACTTACGTCTAAAATGTACTCCTGAACCACAGCATGCAGGATGATGGTGATGAAGATGTAGAACAAGATGGTGACCAGGTCCTTCGGCCCGTAGTGATAGTGCACGGTCTCGCTGTCTGGGGAGCCAATGAGAGCCACGTCAGTGTCCCTGGGGTGAGGACGCATGCGGGGACCCCAACTGAAAGGAGAGCTGAAGATGCTTGTGCCACCAATGCTCTCCTTTTGCTGTAAACCCTAGACTAGGAAGAGAGAGTGTCTTCCCTTGAATCCTACCTCTGGACTTGAGCCTTGAGAAGTGCCAATGGGGAGGGCTAAGGGAACCAGGTACACCCCAGTTTGTGATGGCTCCATGTCCTAAGTTTGGGCAGGAGAGCACAGTGGTCACAAGCCAGGGGCTGGAGGCGACTGATCTCGATCACTCCCTGGCTGTGTGACTGTAGAGAAGTGATCAACCTCTCTGAGCTGCGGTTTCCTCTCCTGTAAACAGGGCTGCAGTTATACTTCACCAAGGAAGTCTAGCACAGGGGGTACTCGTGTGGACTCAGAAGCCCAAGGTGGTACCACAGCTCTGTCATTTACGTCCTATGTGCCTCTAATATGTGAACTGTGTCTCGGTTTCCTCACCTGGAAAACGAAGATAACAGCAGTTTCTGTATGGTGCGGCTATTGTGAGAATTACATGACTTAATACATGCAAAGTGCTTAGACTAGTATCAGGTGCAAAGTAACTGCTATATATGTATTTAGTATTATTTTTGTTGTCAATGTTGGGAGAATTATCCTATTGTGAGAATAAAATGAGAGAATTTGTGGGCAAGATGCTTATCAGAGTGCCTAGAACCATGGGAAGCATGCAATAAGTGGTAGTTAACTAAAATATTATTTAATATTAATTGATTAGAATCCCAGATCTCTAAGTCCATAAAGCTCAGCTGGCAGTCTCTTCCTCCATGGACAGAGGATTTACACCCATGTTTGAGTGAGCAAGGCTCAGGGTTGCAAGTTTGTGAACTTGGGCCTGGATGTCTGCTGCTCGGTAAATCCCCTCCCTCCAGCAGACACACTGGCCGCCCTCCCAGCTCCTTCCAGCTCCGCTGCATTCCCGCTGAGTCACACACACGAGTCATCTCTCTGCTGGGATGTAGTGACCAGCAGGTAGGTGAGTTTCAGGGTGGCCATGGAACAAAGTAGAGCCCATTGGGTCACTGAGAGTCAACTCACAGCCCCTGCCGCCTGGACTGGGAGAAGGTGACAGTGGGGGGCAGGGGGACGGCAAGGACAGAGAGCACATGAACTCTGGAAACAGCAAACTTTCCTTTTTCCTCTCCCTCCTCCTTTCCATAAAGACCTGCTCTGTGAGAGGCACTGGGCTAACTGTTGAAATACGGACAGAAGACACTGTCCGGGCTACAGAGTGTGCAGACTCTCAAGGAGACTGACCAATAAACGTGCTGTTTCCTACAGACAGTAACACAGCGACGCAGGGGCCAAGGTCGGCGAGGGCCTGCCTCCACTGGGGTGAAGGCGGGAGGCAGCAGGTCAAGGTGAACAGAAACCCAGGAATAAATAGGGGTGGTCGTGGTGATTGTGGGGGTGTCCTAGGCAGAGGTGGCGGCATCTGCAAAGAACAGACAGGATCAGTCGTGGGAGGCCAGGAGGCCGCTGTGAATGGCCCAGGTTCCACGTGAAAGGGTGTGTACTATATCCTGAAGGCAAGATGGAAATGTCGAATTCAAATTCAATGACAAAATGATAAAATGTGGGTTTTGGAAGGTTGACTCCGGCAGCAGTGAACAGCATCATGCCTGGAGGTGAAGACGCTGGTTAGCTGTCACGTGATCTGGGTGAGGAGCCAGGAGGGCAGGAGAGGAGGAGGAGGGTGGGCTGCGAGGGACAGAACTGTAAGACGAGGTGACTGACCCTCAGACGAGGCTGCGGTGGGAGGAGAGAGGGGTGGGACTCGGCCTCTCCTTGCTCTCGACCATCCATAAAGCTGGGATGACATTTTCTCTCCCTTCTGAAGAAGGGAGGATCAATGTTGACTTTAGATGGCAGCATATTTTGAAACTATAAAATTACTAAACACACGCAAAGTTTCATCATCAAGACCAGCATAATTAGGCCAAGAGGGAGTTACAGTCAATCAAGAAAAGCACAGCCCACATATAGTAAAAAACACCTGTCAAGACGGGACTGTCCACATTGAAGCCTATTTGGGATCATCCGCATTCTTCACCCCAAGTGCTGTGGTTCCAAAGGGGTATGACCGCGGCCTTAAATCTTTCTTGAAACAAGAATGAATGTGTACATTAACACATTCTTTTGTTCCTTCACTGTTGAGAGTTACACGAATATTTGCTCATCAACCAATAAACCACGTCAAGGCTCTATGCCGGGCACCGAGGGGATGGCAGTGAGCAAGCTGGGTGGGTACACACCAATTCTCCAGCACCGAAAGACCAGAGGCCAAAGGATACAGCTACAAAAACAACCAACCACATTTAAAAACATCTATCTGACGGACTTCAATAGATACATCTCCCAAGGCACACCAGTGGCCAGCAGGTGCCTGAAGAGGCGCTCAACATCGCTCTCATTAGGGAACGCACATCGGAACCACAGCGAGACGCTACCTCACACGCATCAGAACGGCTGGCATTTGAAGAAGAAAAAAACCCACACTAGAAAATACGTGTCGGCGAGGACATGTACAAATTAGAATCTCAGTGCACTGTTTGTGGGAATATAAAATGGTGGCCACTGTGGGAAACCGTACGGTGGTTCCTCAACATTAAAAACAGAACTACCATGTGATCCGGCAATTCCAAGTCTGGGTATATGCTCGGAAGAACGGGAAGCGGGATCGTGAAGAAGTATTTGTACACCCGTGTTCATAGCAGCATTATTCACAACGACCAAAGGTGGAACCCACCCAAGTGTCTATCAACAGATGAACAGAAAAACAAAATGTGGTATACACATACAACAGAGTATGACTCAGCTTTAAAAAGGGAGGAAATCCGCTCACAAACTACAACGCGATGAAGCTGGAGGACACTATGCCAAATAAAATGAGCCAGTCGCAGAAGACAAGTACTGTGTGATTCCACCAGTGAAGTTCCAGAGTCGTCCGGTTCACAGGAACAGAGGGCAGGATGCTGGTCGCGGCCAGGAAAGGGGAATGGAGAGTTGCTGTTTACTGGATACAAAGTTTCAGTTTTAAAAACTGTTTGCCTACCAACATGACTGAGCTTAACATTACTGAACTGGACACAGACATGGTCAAGATCATAAATTTTATATGATGTATATTTTGCCACAGTGTAAAACATACACCAGCAGCCAGATGGGATACGTTCTTTGACGTGGAGCAGAGGCTGAGGGAAGAGGGGACAGGGAAGCAGGGGACTGACTGCGGGCGGGAGCCTGGGAGGGCGGGTGGCCTGAGGAACAGCAGGAAGCTGAGCACAGGGGCGGGGCTGAGGTACAGGTCAAGGCAAAGCATCTGAAAGGCAACGGAGAGCTCCTGGAGGGTAGGCACTACGTATTTACAAGGATCCTCTCCCATCACGTGCTGAGTGGGCTGGGGCGGGAGGGCAGGTGGAAGGTGCCTGCAGGGATTCGGCCGGTGGTGGCGGTGCCCTGCACCAGCACTGTGGCAGAGCGGTGGAGAGGAGACCGGCTCGGAGAGAGGTGCTGTTGGAATCAGGAGAACCAGCTGCTGGGCTGGCTGAAGTTCCTCTGGAATCTCGTCTGGAGTCTTAGCGCTCCATGCTTTCACAATTCTGCAGCGTGTGCTGTCTTGCCGGATCCTCAGAACCGTATCACAGATAAGCAAGGAAAGCAAATGAAGAAATGGGATTCCAGAGTGAAGGGGCAAGGCCATTTCTCTGGTCTCCCGGTGTCTGAGAGCCACCGTGGGGTCAACCGACCTCCTCATGGCCTCCCCAGGCCCCAAATCCTTCCTGGTAAGAAGCTGCTCCTCTGATCCCTGCTCCTACAATCTAACAAGCAGCAGCGCCCGCAAACACCCACACCGCTCTCTGAGTCACACACATTACCTCCGTGCTTCCCTGTCTGCGCCACCTTCCTGCAGGAAAGTCAACTGGTGTGACCCCATCTGCTTCCCGCAGAGCTCTGGAGACTGGAACTCCATTCTGCTAGGCGTCTGTAAACCAACTCATTTTTTTCTTTTTACATTTTTGGTCGTTCACTAATTCTTATAAAAATCTCCTCCCTCCCCAAGTCCAAGCTCTGACTGAAGCCCCCCTGGCCTCACACGGGCTCTCAGAAAGACCCACCGTAGCTCAGCAGCAACTGTCACAAGCTTTCAGAGACCAGTGTAAGCAGGTCCCTGAGCCACTAGACCAGGGAGGTGACTGGTCACGAGTCAGCAAACTGCCTAGAGACCAGGCAGGCAGAATAAATAAGCCAGTGACCCAGGTGCTGGAGATAACAGAAACAGTGTCTACTCCCCCCGCACACGGCCCACTGCTTCTCCAACGATCCCCTCCTGGTCTGTCACATTTCTACCTGGAGAGAGGAACACGTTTCAGAAACATCCACTTTCCTCATTGAACCTTATTAAACGAACACAACAGTGAACAGGGTCGTCAGGGGCACACCAGCGGCATGGTGACTGGGGAACTGCAGAGCCGTCTCAAGGGGCTGAAGGAAGGTGGGGCTATGGGGGGGGGGGCAGTGTGGCCAGATTCCCAATATTTCAAAAGCGAAGACAGAGATCTTGACGTGAAATCATCTGATTTTACAATATTGCTGACTAATTCAAGAATTTTAAAAACACTTTATGGGCCAACACCAAACTGCCCAAAGAAAACATGTCTGAAGCCAATTCTGACCTTGGGCCACCCATTTGCAATCTCCAGCCTGGATGACCACTGGCAATTTTTCCACCACCAAAGTTCCATGTGTCCCTCCTACACCCCGTCCGTGGAGCGAGTCAACGTGCCTTCCTGTGGAAATCCATCTAGTGCGGGAAGAAAGCACCTTGAATTTCAATACTGGTCTTCCCCCTGTGGATGAAGTATCCTATCTCCCATCAAAAGTGACACTCTGCTTATCTCTGATCAGTTTTAAAAGACGGCTGGAATAATCA